CATGGTCTTTCCTTCCCAAAGCCTCTTTCCCTGGGAAGCCAGCCAATTTGGGTCTGGGTCTGTGAGGTCTTCATAAAATCTCCAGAGGGCCAAGCCTACTGGGTTGCACAAACGGTGGGTGTGTGGTAGCTTGGCGTGAATAACGCCTGCAACGAGTGAGAGCGAGGAGATTGTCATGTCAGAGCCACAAACTTCTTGGGGCCACAGGGCCACTATAGATCCCTTCTTTTCTGGAACGTACCACCAGTCCAGGGATGGACTGTGACGAATATTTGGCCTCAGGCAACACTGGAGCCCAGGGAATGCTTTAGATGCAAGTGTGTTTTCTCACAGAATTATAAAGCCCAGCAGCTCTCGGTGCCAGAGGCTGTGGAGAGTTTCTGTGTTTTTCGACTATTCATTAGTGATTACATACCCCCCTGAACACCTGCAAGACCAATTCATAAAGCGAGCATTCATGGACTTTGGCAAGGCCTTCATGGGAACTGCAGAGTATGGGCCACGGTCATTGTATCTGCAGATAAAAACATTCTCTTACCAAGGAGGCCTCTGAAAATAGAAGCAGGCTGCAATTTCAGTTCAACACCATGGGGTATTAAAAAGAAAAGTGTTACTTCACCTCGTCTCTTTATAAAGTCAGCACGCTGCGGGGCTGCAGCGTTCCTGGACAAATCCTCTTTCAGGCCCCTTTGGGGAGCGGGAAGAGGGGAGTGGTGGGCACGGCACTGATTGTGACAGAGGACGGCCCGGCCATCGCTCCGTTGTGGCATGCTGTCTTGCAAGTTACACTTATTTACAGCAGGATAACAGGAAGCACGGAGCTTGGGTGGCCTTCTGTGTAACTCGGGGTGACAGATTGCTCCTGCCACTTAGAAAAAACCTGCCATAATTAATCCAAAATTGCCAACAATAATAAGTAACTAACAAAAAATGACATCTTTATACAAAATACAGGGTTGACTTTTAACATGATTCTTTTTCCCCTTTATTTTTCCTTTCAAGTGTTCTCTACTAAAGGATAAAATGGCCACAGCTGGTATAGTAGGCTCTGGAAAGCAGAGCTGGGCATCATGGCTAAGCCTGTCTGAGCAGAGCTGGCTGAGCTGGAAGTATACTCATGAGTACTTGAGAGAACCATTTTGCAGAATAGAGAAGCTGAGACTTATCTGGGCCTCTGGAAGTCCAGGCTCCTGAAAACATAAACATATTTTGTCTGTAGGGGAGAGATGAAGTTCTCCTATCAGATAAATGAGCCTGCCTGGCTAATATAGCAAGGTTTTTCTTTACTTTGTGTGTTGGGGTGGTGGTGGGGAGTTTGGGGGGGGCTGGTGGGAGGACTCCAGATCTCCCCTTTGCTCTGCCTATGTAGACAGCCTCCAGTGCTCAATTAGCCTCCTGAAGTGACTCATTCTCAGATAACAGCTTATACACTAGGAGAAGCGATGCTCACAGTATGTTTTATCCTCACATGTATAAACACACATCGTCACAAACTCATTTAGGTTAGAAAGGACTTTTAATGGGACATCTGGCTCTCTTCCACTACTTCTTGTCAAGGCAAAGTAAGTTCCCTTGTTAATATCCTGTAGCATGGCTAGCATCTGTGGTTACAAAGAAATATTTTTTTTTGTCTCTTGTTATTGATTCAACTAGTACCAGGGAGCAAAAATAAAATGGCTAAACCTAAGAAATTATAATCAGAATTTCCATAAACAACTTTACCCTGAAAGGTGGGGGAAGCTTAAGTGCTGGGCCAATAAAGGAAACTAGGGCCAGAACTCATACCAGAGAGAGGACCAAGATGATACTGGTGAAGTGATTGTAACTGGAGTAAAAATCCTGCTCTTCTGCAGTTGGGGGAGCAGAAGAGTATAGGGGTGAAGGTTAAGGACTCTGGAGCTAGGCTATTTGGCCTTGAAATCCAGCTCTGCCAGTACTAGCTGTGTGATCTTGAACTTGACATTTACCTCTTCATTTCTCAGAGTTGAAGTAACTTCCTCATTTGTAGAATGCCATAATAGCAGTTACCAACTTTAGAGATTATCACAAGTCTTAAACAAGTTATTATCCACAAAGCACCTGAAATAGTGCTCTGATATACCAAGGTTAACTGTCACTGGTTAAGCAATCTAGATCATTGGCTACTGATAAAGAATTATTTATATCATCCATTGCATTCCTAGGAATGACTGTTCTACTCTATGCTTAATAATAACAATCACTGAGCACTTACTCTGTGCTAGATACTGGGCCAGGCCCAGCCTTCTAATACAACAGTCCTACTCCCACGTTACAAAAAAAAAAAAAAAAAAAAAGACAACAAAACCCTGAGATCAGAAAGTGTGAAAGCTTAAGATCACACACATTGTGATCTTAGGTAGTGCATCTAGAATTCAACCCCAGTGGACTCTCGCAGCCATGGTTGTAATGAACAAGCCATCTCACTTGCATTTGCTTTAAGGGTTAAAAGTTATGACCATTTTTGTTTTCATTCTTTTTATAGTTGTTCTTAGTGTCTTGATCAGTACTTTCTGAAAGTGCTGGGTAGGTGATGCTGAAAGTTAAAAAGCATTCATGTTAGTAGAGCAGTATTCTCTCTGGGTGAGCCCAGGGCAGAGTGCAGGAGGACCCATTTCTGTAATCCATCCAGTCTGAGCCACAGTCGGCTCCTGCCTCTCCATGCCCCATTATTGCTCAAAATCTCAGTGTCTTCATCAGTAAAATAGGGTTCATAAAGACCTACTTGAAGGGGTTTTCCACATGTTTATGTGAAGTAATGCATTTTACAGATCGGCCAGTGTTTGGTTCTTCAGTTAATGATGTTTTATCAGTACAGACTATGGCCTACTCCCCAAAGATTCTATTGGGTAGTTTCAGGGAAGTAGAAGCTGATTAATCAAATGAGAAAATTTCATCAGCCTATAAAAATGCTATGTATCTATGTTAACCTCCTAATATTAATGCATAAGCAAAATAACATCAAACCAGTGATGATTTAAATAATTCAACCTGCAAAAAGCCATTGAAATCAGGTTTCTACCAATCCAGTTTTTTTTTCCCGATGGTTAGGCTTTTTTTGTTTTGTTATGGATAATTCCCTAAGCTTCCAGGGTGCTTTGTATGGAGGTGGCCATGTTCTGTAACACTGGAAAAGAGCAAGCTGGTTTGGGAAGCTTAGTCCTTGTTATCCTGTTCGTGTCACCTGTTCACTTGATTTTGCTCCATCTGCAGAGAATCCACATTCTTGTAAGTGGAGAAGGTTTTCAGTTACATAAATAATGAAGAAACTCTGGATAATTTAGGCAGGATAAAAAGCTTGCTCTTTTCTGGATGATCTGGTTAATTATCTGGTTAAATTAGGTAAAAACCTTTTATGTCAGGGGGGTCTCTAATTATCTGGAAAACCAGGTAACTGTGTCCTTTTAAGAGCCTTTGGGCTTGAATTATTCATCGACATACCCAGCATCCCGGGAAGATGTCCAATTCTTCACCTGCCCTTTGTGCAGAGATTGGGATGGAGACTCTTGAGCAGTTCTATTTACAGCTTCTCATAGAGGCAAAATATTCTAGCCTTCTCCATTTTTTTCCCCTTCATACAAAAAAGATCCAACTTTGAGCTGTGAGGAAGCCGGTGCTCAACTTGGAAGATCGGTAGCAAATTTTCCCAAGAGACACAAACAAACACATACATAACTGGAATATCAATGAGGTCTCTTTAGAGGCAACACATTAAAATGCAAGGCAGGAGATAATGAGATAAGCAGCAAGTTACAGGTTTCTTAATTCTAGTGTGAAAAGAGAGAGAAAGAAAAAGAACAGAAACCACCCGTAAAGTAGCTTGGCACAAGGATCTCCTGAGCTGGGTATGAAGCTGGCTTGGGAGGGGGTGTGGGGGTGTTTTTACCAGTCACCTCAGTGACACAATCAGAGGAGGAAAGAATTGTCTTAGAGGTGACAGGGGAGATATGAAAACCACACAACTGGGTTTTTTTTTTTTTTTTTTTTTGGGTCCTGGTTTATGTATCCCACATCTTCTGGCATATTCCTGAGTCAAATAAAGGACACAGCTTCTAGTTACATTTGACTCTTTCCTGGCTGTTCTGGGGAAAAACTGTCACCATTTCCTGAGAACTGACTATATACCATGAACTGTACTGGACGGGGGCCTCGCTGGGGGCTGCTAAGGGAATTGGACCTCATTTAATCCTTACAGGAACCCTGTGAGATGTTATTGCCCTCTTGTGACAGACAGAATGACTGAGGATTGAAGGTTTTAGCTCCAGGCTGGGAATCAGACCCAAGTTGCTTGTACTCCAAAGCCAGGCTTTTTAACCATAGCCACCGAAGTTATGCCCAGACAAATGGTCTATTTGCCACGCTCAGTCTGCCACAGGAAAGATACAGCAAAAATGAAACTGGGCTACTTAACAGAGGTGTAGTTGAAAGAGCCAGAAAATCTGGGCACCAGACTGGCATGGTCTTTAGCTATGTGACTCTGGGCAAGTTACTTGACATCTCTGAGTTAGTTTCCTCATTGGCAAAACTGAGCTACTAATAGCTATTGTTCAGGAGCTATACATAGATTAAGATCTATAGAAGTTTCTATTTAAAAAATGCAAAGCAAACATAAAAAAGAAAGAATAAAAATGCAGTGGTAATCAGGGCAAATTTGCAGACAACTGAAAGTTTCCTTCCTAATTCCACTGTTATCACCTCAACTTCGGCTCACCTTTCCTCACCTGGACCTTTGCAACGCTCTCTACCAATGTTACCTGCCCCCAAGCTTGTCTCTTTCAAGGCATTCTCAGTTCACTATCAAAGACTATGTTCTAAAACTGATGATCTTGTGACTTCCCTGCTTAAAATTCTTCAAGGGCACCTCATAGGCTATGGATGAAACCCAAATTCCTCACTGCACTCTGGATCTGTGATTTCATTATTCAGTCCCTGCCTCCTTTTTAAGCCCCGGATCGTGACAGGCTCTTAATCTACATACTCACTGTAGGGTGCAACTTGCAATTTCAATGATGAGTTATAATCTTTCCGATCTTTAGGTCTTTGCACAGTCTGTGCTTTTTCTACAGAATGTCCCTCAGCTCAGATATCACCTCTGCTCAGAAACGTCTCGGGTTTTTCTAACCACACATTGTGGCATCCTCCTTTGTGACATCAGCAAGGAATTCTACCAAATAGAGGAAATGATTTCCTACTTGTATGTCATTTGCAGGCAAGAGATCTCCTTAAAGGCAGGACCGGAGTGACTTATCTTCACAGTGGTAGCACCAATCGTGGTGCCTCATATATATCATTTAATTAAGAAGGAGTGGGGGTGGGACTTGATGATGAACTGATCAGGAAGCTGCTGCAATTATAGGGGGGGGGGAAATGATGAGGACCTGGAATATGATTTAAAAGAGAGCTGCTTTTTGCCTCTCTCATAAGCCTACTCTCTCCACACTGATTATTTGGCTGACTAAGTGGGTCCCCCTCTCTGGCTTGTCTATCCACAGCCATCTCTTCTGAAGCACAACTTTACCCAAGAAAGGGCAGTGGCAGTGGGAATGGGAAACAAAAAATGGGTTTCAGAGATGTGAGACTTAAAAGTAGAATTAAGAGAATCAACTGTATGTGAAGGCCAAGGTAGAGAGAAGAATCTAGCATGAATTATTCCAATAAGTCAGATGGAAAAGCATCACATTTCCACATTTAACACAATCTACTTACCGGTCAAAAAGGGAGATGCTTACTGCTTAAGATGGCTTATGCCCAAGCCTATAGAATGATTCAGCACTTACAGTGTAGCCAAAGAGGCTGAAAGGTGGTAATGTAGAAATTGGAGGTCTTCAGTGAACTCAGAGATGAGCTCAGTCCTTACAGGGGAAAAAGGAGAGAAGACCCAGAGGGATTTTGAGTTCCCTACCAGGACAGAAAGATTTATGGTCTTATAATGGCTGAAATGACCAAAAAAGAAGAAGTGGTTTGTTCTATTATTCCATTATCCAATGTCAAGGTGAAGATCCTGAGTCTAGATGATTTACTCCAAATCCTCTCCAGTTTTCTCTCCAAATATTTGGCAGTTCTGTACAGGAAAGTATCAATTAATTAACTAATTTTATTACCCAGAGCACATGGCTGTACTCAAGTGGATAGTATTTAACAAGGTGTATGCAGCATGTTAAACATTTTGATTAACTCGCTGGCTCCAGAGGATGGTGGAGGAAACCACTTAAAGATATTTCACGAACCTCCATATTCGGTTTACAGACAAGGAAATGCAACTCTAAAATTTGAATGGACTCTTTCCCATACCAATGGTGTCAGAAATAGACTCTCCAGATCTAGCCTCCTGTTAGTCCCCTCTTGCACACTTTCCATTGTCTCCTCCTAGCCTCCAGCCTTCAAAACTAAATGCTTTGAGGATCAGAAAGCTGACACTCCAGAAGGTATGGTAGTTGGGTAAATTTTTTGAGGTCTTGGCTACACACCTTAATTTAGAGGACAAGTTTTGGTCTTAGGAGCTGAAGGTATTTAAAGCAAAATGGAGGGAGTTTGAGGGAATTATATGCAGTAAAGCAAGTCAGAATGACAGACAAATACTGGATATTTACAAAAATGGATGATTTGACAAAGTAAAACACAAAAACTAGTGGATATTAATAAATGCAGTGATGCTCTGAGGTTAAGAGAGGGGGGAGATAGATAAGGATAAGGGGTTTTAGGGATGGTGGGGGGGGAAATTGTGTTTTAAAATCTATTTACCATGGATGAGATGAAAAAACATGTCACACCCATTCATACACACACATATAAACTAAAACTCTCATATAACTTCCTGTAGTCTTTCTATAAGGAATATTTGAGGAAAAATACTTGAAAATACATGAACCACTTCTTATATTGGAATATTGTTAAATGGCTTAACTAAAATATCAAATGAGTCTATAATAATCATTTTTATAAAAAGTGCAGAAATCCAAATATCAATATCTACTTACTCAGGAGAACAGTATAGTTCAGAAAAAAAAAATGAAGGCGAAAGACAAAGGGGAAAAAAGGAAGCTTTTTGTACCCATATCTCCTATATGTTGTTCAGAGATAGCGCTTTTAAAAGCTGTTCATGGTTTAGACGTCATTGAAAGTGAAGTCATGTTTTCATGTTGAGTGAGTTTTGGAATCACCTCAGGGCTTAAAGGAGACCAGTGCCTTGGTTCCACTCCTGCAGTTTCCTGCTTAGGTGCTCTGGGTTGAATTCCCCCATGGTGGGCACTGGGCGTTTTGAAAAACCCTCATGTGTACCCACTCGACAAGCAAGACCCAGAGCCTCTACCTCCAAGGCCTTGGCTTGCTTCATTTCACAAGAGCTGGTGGCCTTGTTTTGTACAGGTGGCTCTTGGAGGCCTTGCAGAGGAAATCAAAATGAGAACAAAGAACAAGGAAGTTAAGACATAAGAAAGTATTCAGAATAAAGATTTATTATTAACCAAAAGCAGTAAAGGAGGGAAAAGATATTTTCCTTTTTGCCGAAGGCCATATGTGAGTGTCTGTGGGGAAAGCATATCCACAGCTTTGTGACTGAACCTATAATTCATATTTGATTCAGAAGCTGACGTTGTTGGATTATAGTGCTACAGCTGTTCTCAGTTGAAGTCCAACCTCTCCCGATGGGGCTTATTGTAGCAACACGTCTCATTTATAGAACTCATATGCAGGGGCACAGAGACCCAAAACTGTAAATTAAAACCTTGTGTATATTACTTTGGTGAATTCAATTCAAATGCACTTGGTTTCTCCAAATAGACCATTTTCCCTAGAAAAGGAGAAGAGGCCTCACAATGGAAAGGAAATAGATATTCTGTATTCAGCCTTCCTATTTCTGGTAGGTGGTCTTGACATGAAGGCAATAACGGAAATAAATTCTAATAAAGTGTTGAGGTATTGGTCAGGCTTGTTGCAGACATATGTGGAGGGGAGAAGAGCAGAGAGGAAGCAGGGAGATGAGAAGTATGGAACTGGGGAGCCTCAGTGTTGGAGTTAGAAAATTCCTTATAGAGCATCATCTGGTAGAAAACCAGCTCAACATTTGTTTATTCTTGAGGACTTATCTGGTGGTATTTTTCAAATAGACGGTTGAAAAGGAAATGTAAGCTCAGGGAGGAAAGGTGTCTTGACCAAAGTTGCCCTGTTAATTAGCTGCAGGGGTGGAACTACAACAAAGGCTATGCATTTGGATTCATCACTCGGCATCCCTCTCTCTTCTCATGCAGCCTTGACAGTTCTGGGATATTACTCAGCAATCAAAAAAGATAAACTCATGCAATTTGCAGCAACATGGGTGGAGCTGGAAGGGATCATGCTCAGTGAAATTAGCCAGAAAGAAAAAGAAAAATACCGGATGGTCTCACTCATAGCAGGAATTTAGAAAACCCAAGTAAGGGACCAGGAAAAAGACCAATTGTAATAAAGAAAAAATCAAAATCAACAAGCAACTATAAACCAGAGACACACTACGAGGGGGAGGGGAGAGAAGGGGAGAGGTAGGATTAGGGTCAAAATGGGGGGGGTGCAATTGTATGGGGAATATAACCAAAATGAAAATGCATACATTGTGCAAAAATGAAAAATGATATTAAGTATTATATAAAATAAAATATATATATAAAAGAAAATAACAACAAAAAAAGATTTAAGCAGAAAGAGAGTGCTCCAGCTGCCATTCCTCAAATGAAATAAGACCATGAATCAGAAAAAATTACAGGAGTTTCAGGTCAAGTGAATTCTCCTGCTTTATCCCAGATAAGTTATGGTGAGGCTTGAGGGTGATGTAGCAGTAGGAAGAGATGCGGCGAGCAGAACCAATGAGATCTGTGACAAATCGGATTGCAGAAGAGAGGAAGAAAAGACAATGCATCAGGACACACAGTTTTGACCTAGAAAAACTTTGCTTGATTGAAAAAAAAAGAAAGGATTGTCAATGAGCTGGTATTCTTTGTCCATCTCCAAGGCTTTACTTTTTTAGTTTCTCATTCCTTATTAGCCCCTCAGGGTGAAATGTGGGAAGGCAAAGAACAGAGCTGCAGGGACAAAGCACAGTAGGGTGTGGATGTGAGGAGTGTGAGCTGATCCGACATACAACCAACACTTGTTGAGCACTATCTGTGTGCTGGGCTCTGAAGATGGGGAGGTAAATAAGACACAACCCCCACCTCTGTGAAATTCAGTCTAGTGGGATTGTATCAGTACGTGAACAGATAATTGTGCTGGTTCTCTGTGAGGAATCTCAAAAGGGCCTCAGGGTGCAAGATGGGAGCCATCATTGAAGAAATGCCCTGGAAGAAGTATTCTTCAAGCTGGTCTATATGGGCTCAGTAGGAGTTTGTTGGCAGGTAGGGAGCGTCCTGTGCAATGGTAAGGAGATGTGAAAAAAAACATACTCCACTCAGGGCTTGGTGACCAGTTTGATGTGTCTAGAGAGTAGGAGGTGACAGGTCATAGGGAGGAAAAAGATTGAAAAGTACCTTGGGGTCAAATTAGGAAGCCATGCTAAACTGTACAGACTTTACCCATAAGGGAAATGGCTTAGAAGCCAAGGAGTGACATGCTCAGACAAGAGTGTGCTAAAGTCACTGTCAGTCTTGAAACAACGCATTGAGGGGGAAAGGTCAGAGGGTGGAGATCAGGTAAGAGGCTTCTGGAATAGTCCAGATAATGTATGGTGACGGTCTCAGGATGATCTAGAAGTGGGAATAGATGTGGGGAGATTTTAGATATCTATAACTAGCTGGATTTTGCAGGAGGAGAGAAAGGACAGGGTTAGGTATGCAATGAAGAGTCTCTCATTTTTATGTTTCTAAGAGTTCTATTTCTTTGTCTAGTTTGCTTGCACAAATTACTTAGATAATGGCCACAAGTCTACATGTAGAACTCCTCTATGTGGTAGATTTCAATGTTCTCCTCCTGATCAATACTTCCAAGATATCAGACTAGCACTATCCCCTCCTGCCTCCTGCTGTTATTACCCTCACTACTGTTACTGCCACTGATGTGCTATTTGGGAAGGGAAGGAATTTACAGATAAACTCAAAGGGAAGTTTTACCTGATCTTTCTAGTAAGCCCCTCTCCTTCCATTATATGTAACCAGAATTTAT